ACAGTGCAGACAAACATAAAACACTGAAAATATCTGAATGACATTTTCTCCTGTCTCTGTAGTCATTCCTCTGCCCAAACATGTCCCAAAACACCATATATGGAAACCAGGTGCAATGAAGAGCTTTGTCAACTAACCTGGACTGCCAGCGTCGACCGCTGTTCCACACTCTACCAAAGGAAGGTAGCCAGTTGGCGTCTGTATGTGAGCTGTGATCGAAGTTGGCCCCCACTCTGTTCGGAGGAAGCTTCCTCAGCTTCTCTTGCTCCTCTGGCAAAAGCGAGATGTCATTATACTCCCATTACAGGCAGATTTTTTTAACTGGTTTTATACAAGTCTATGTGGATATGTTATTTTTAATTCCTCACACTAACTCCAGCAACAGCAGCTTCATGATTGTAGCTCTAGTGTTTACGAAAATGCTACTTATAAATGACAGTGATGCAACAAATGCTTGACACTGCTACATGTCATTTGATGATAGCAATCATCGTCCTTACTATGTTTGAGGAACTCGTGGAGTGATGGGCCAATCTCTGGCTCTGCAGCAGTTCTGGAGGTCCCTTCTACAGGATCATCTTGGAGCCAAGGAGGGACAGCACCTACAGCACACACAGGTTAAAATGCTTCATCAAGCAGACAAAATAGTTTCATGCAGAAGCTTCAGAAAGGTTGAAAAACACAACAGGAAACCAGTAAACAATGTATTAGCTTAACAGAAACCAAAGTTTGTCCACTGATACACAATGCAGTTAGGTCAACATCATTAAGCACTTATTTTTAATTCATCATGCAATATGACTAAGCAGATGTCTGATGTACAAGTTTGGGGACAAGATCACAAGATATCATCTCAATATTGACCAAAATGTCTGAGTAATCTTTCCAGCACATTGTTGAATCTATGCTACCAGGAATTAAGGTACTAGCAAGGAGAATCTAATAATGTTCCCAGTGAGTATATATACTGAATTTATATGTATTAATGTTATAAATAGCAGGAACAGTAAAAGTTCTGCGTAACTCTCAAAAGCAGTTGTTTTGCACAACCACATATATATATTTTTTTCACCGCCACCTCAAGTCATACATCACAGTACCTGTATGAACGTTTCCACTGTTCGATGAATCCTGTATGAGAGAAAAAAAGCGTTCATGTGAGGTCATTGCATTTGTATGATAACATTGCATATATATATGTATAGATGAGTGAATACTTTTTGAATAAAAGCTGCCAGTCTACCTGATAACCTATGAATGTCAGGCCGTGTCCTGCTGGAGTCCACGGCATTTCACCCATCGAGTCCACAAAGCTGCTCCCCGCCTGCTGGTCTGATCCTTGACACATAAACTGTGAGCTGTTGCCCAAAGGACAAGGTGATCCCCAAACAAAAACACAAGTCATTTGAAGTGAGACTGATGAGAGTGTAGAATAGCTACAGTGTTGCAGATGTGACAATGGTTTACCTGACAGAGTTCTCTACAGATGAGTCTGTGCCGTTGGGTCCGTTTAACAACTCAGGCTCTGCATCACGCTGATATTGATTCAGGAAAAGCCAACAGTGGTTCACAGAGGAAGTCTGACATCTAATCATGTTTCATTTCAGCTTTTATCATCACAATCCTTACACACAACATTACCCAAAAGGTTAATATAAACCGCGTGCCCTTCTTCTTACACCAAAAGGTTAACCAGCCACACTATTCTTCAAGAGTTAAACAGGAGCCTACAATTATTTAGCTGAAGAATGGTGGAATTTGCAATCTTACGTGCAAACAAACACCAGTTAATGCCACAGTGATGGATACTGCCACAGCATCGTTGGAAAACAAACCTCTAAAAGTGACTGTAAGACCTCCTGGCGATGCCTTTCCTGGGCTCGTATATGCTCAGCATGCTGCAGTCACAAAAAAAGAGAGAAAACAAAAAATAATTACCAACAAAAGGTTTCAAACCTGGATAATGTACCCTTCCTTAAGACACTAATTATACTGAAAAATGACTCTAAGGATGAAAACAGTCTCTAAGTAACTACATCTGCATTTCAGAGCTGACTTTCAGATGTTGAGATGCTGGATAATTCAGCAATAAATTGAACTGAACATTTAAAACACCTCTATATATGTAACTATATTAGCATTTATCAATACTGTGCTTCACTACTCCAAAAACAGAATGCTATATGTAGTTCATTTAAAAACAAGGTTGCAATACCTGTTTAATGTATTCATCCTCATTCTCCACAAATGATTCCAATGCCTTTGCCACCTCAACTTTAAACCTAAAGAAAAATACAGAACAGTCAATGCAGATACATTTAATTTTACAAACAAACTTTAATAATGTCTGAATACTTATGGCTCAGTAGGTCTACCTTTCCGTTTCCTCTTCTGTGACGATGACTTTGTCTCTAAACTTCGGGTCAGCTTTATTGTCCCACCAGAACTTGTGTGTATTCTTCCTGTGTTCTGGGCTGAAATAAAATATAGTTGAAAAACTTTAAATACACTCTCATATAAATTCATATGAAAAAATAAAGTAGGTGTACTATATTCATTCAGCAAATGTTTGAGAAATGTATGTTTTGTGGTCAAATGGGTCTTGGTGACCTCTGGACATATTACATATTTTTGTTGCATGTGTAGGTTTGGGAAACATCTTAAAGTCTGTGAAGGTTCTCAGTCATCCAGGTCATCGTAGTCAAAGTAGTCTTTGTCTACAAAACATCTTAAAGATATTTTAAAAACTCAACTTGCAAGTTGGCACATAAACAGGAAGAAATGGAAACAGTAATTCAGGCGTCAGCGTTTTCTTCCTGATTGTGTCTTATCAGTCACTTAAGGATCTTTCCTGTTTCATCACACGTAAGCAATTAACCCTATCCTTCTTCTTTACAACAGCATGTGTATACACAGCCAGTTAAGTAATACGCATTTAAATGCAGTTTATATGAAAAAAAAAACAACAGTTTTTTGAAAATGTGTTAAAACACTTTTCCAGACATGGATTGCTTTAAAACAGCAAAGGAAATTGAAGAAATCTGAGCAATCAAAGGCAATCAAAATGGTTCCAGACAAAACAAAATACAGTGAATAAAACCTTATAAGTAAGACTCACGTGGCCATGTGTTCTAACAGGCCTCCATAAAGGACAGTCATGTTGCCATCTGTAACGTTTTTCTCAATTTCACACCCACAGCAGTAGCACCAGAATGTCTGCTTGTGCTGGGTGCAATCAAACTTTTCTACTTGGGGTTTCTTAAGTGTTCGGCGAGCTTCCTTCACCTGGGAGACAGTGGATGAAGCAGACATAGAAAACTGACAAAGTTAGACTCTGATTGGAGCTAAAACAGTTTCACACAATTCTACTGTTGCATTTAAATATTACTTTTTATTATTATTCAAATTAAAAAATACAAATTTAAAAAATATATATAATCAGTTTGGAGAGTGTAGTTTGTGGTGCTGTTGAATTATATAGGGTTATATATTTATATATATGCTTACAAAACAAAAGAACTAAAAGAGCTGATTCAGGAAAAGCTAACAGTAGTTCTCAGATTGGCCTTGTTGACTCCCATCTCTAAATAAGATGACATTTACTAATGGCAGTATGTCAGTGTTTATTGTCGATTTTGTGTTGTTTCAGATCAAGGCTGCATTGGCTAAATACAAGATAATGTGATAAAACTCTCAAAGACTTGAAAACAACTTTATAATGAGGATGTATTTATTTCACTGGTAAAAAAGGACAGGAATAAATAACAAGAAAATCCCCAAACTGCTACTAACATGTGCAAATCTCCAACTACTGTGTACATACAAAAAAATAGACCAAATTTATTGACATGCAAAGACATACTATGCAAGTATGTACATTACAGTATTTGAGGACATATATAAATGAACTGTTTAAATATTTGTTCAAATAAATTGTTTTAGGGAACGAGTCTGAATCCTTACTGATAAAGAAAAATATATGTAATATACATGATAATAAATCAGACTATATTACTGTCCGATTTCAAAGAAATATAACGGTAATATCATAATGATATATACAGATGTTGTATATCGAGTAAAAACAAATTGTTAAAATATATAATACACAATCAGAAAAATATAATAGTAATATTAATAATAATAAGTATGATGCTTTAAAGTTATTTAAGTTGTATCGTGCATTAGATATGAAAGGATGATCTCAAGCTACTTAATCAGAAGCAGGGCACATTACGCGTGACGTGCTGGTGGTATCAGAGTTATGATTATTATGAATACTGACGCACCTCATGGTGGCCGTTCTGTAGACTTAAAATCATATACATATAATAAAGAAGATAATGGACTCACAATATTTCGCTACACAACTTGGGAATCATACTTTTTAATGTTACTCAGAAGGAAAAGAGTTCAATCTAGGATTTTAACAACAGTTTGCCTCCATCACTTCTACCAGGGTCAGATCATGCTGCACAAAACACAGACTACTCTCAATATCAAATATCAGTTAAAAAAAAATCTACAATCTGCATACCTTTTCTGTGAATTTAAGGAGAACCACTCTGAGTCTACTTTGATGAGTTTTTCCGAAAATGTGTCCCTTCCCGTTGAATGTTGTTTGTCTACAAATGGCACAGTAGTGTGCACCCATTTAGATTCTGTGGAAGTTACCAAACATATACCGAAACCGAGATGAAACCAGATCCGACCTAAAACCAAACGTAACAGTTTTGTCTTTGTTTATCTCGTATCCCCCTTCACCACAGCAGCTACCCCTCATAGCTTAGCGTAAGTTAGCCTTTGCTGCAGGACGTAGTTCCGTCCAGAAATACTTCCCCCTTGAAGCAGAGGAACGGGCTTTGTGTTAAGACTTTCAAAAGTCTTTGAAAAGACTTTTAGTACTATGAATATTGATCATATTTAAAGTAGACTATAAACCAAAAGCGGAGTAAGATCATAGATAGTAGAGGCACAGCCTTCTTGCTAAATGAAAAGGCAACAAGTAAAGGCGGAACGAAGAGCTGCCTGACTTTCAGTGTCGGAACACTGTACGAGCCAGTGGAAGTAACGTGGAGAGTGAGAAGATCAAAGACGGCAGCAGTATTCATGCTCAGAAAGAGAACTACTGATGAGACATTTGCTTTGAGTGGATGCTCAGGCATGTCCACCGTTACATTTTAACGAAACTACCTCATGCCAAGTGTCTTAAAGATACGTAGTATAATTACAGCAGCGCAGAAAAAAATAACTAAAAGTCCCCGTGAAAGCGACTGGAATAGATCAACTACTAGGAGGGAGAGGAATGAAAGGGTGAACTCGCTTCCAAAGCCGGATCTTCTAGTGTGACACCGAGCGGAAGTAAACAGAAACTGGGCTGGTGGCGTAAACATCGACTTGTGCGTGGGAACAATATATGTGTAACAAGGCAATAATGCCTTCAGTTCAGCATTTTAGACAGTTTTTCAACGAGCGACTAGCTGCTGCTGCTGAAGAAATATTCAGCGCTTTTGAAAAAACTATCCTCGAGTACGAAGAAGAGATCAGCCGTCAGCGCAGGCTGCTGGACATCGTCTGCAAACCTGCGGTGAAGTTACCCAGGATAGGTCCGCAACACCTTAATTACACGTTTGATATAATTTGCAGTTAAATAATGGAGGCTTTAGACTTATATTAGATCCTGTTCGTTTAAAGTCCTATTAGTTTGTTTTCTTTATCCCAACAGGGTTGTGAGGATGGGAATATGAACGTGCCTCTATTACCACAGCACGTGTCGAACCGACCTCAGTCTATAATCTTTGTCAGTGTGAGAGAAAAACTGGGAGTCGGTGTTTGCTAAGCATTTTTTCTATTCAAATTCAAATTTTATTTGTCACGTACACAGTCATACACAGTACGATATGTAGTGAAATGCTTGGACAACTACTCGTGACCTAAAGAAAACAAAAAAAGGAAAGGCTATGAATAAGATAGGAAATAAATATGCAAAATTAAAAAGGGTAAATTAATTTTGCATATTCTTAAATGTTTTCGTTTTTTGATCAATCAAAACGGAAGAAAATCTGAAATTTATTCTACAACATTGTTTAAAATATCAGATTTGGCAACATGAAATTGAGCGGCAACTACAATGCTATTTATTTGTTTCAAATCCCTTCCACCTCAAACGTGTTTTATTGGGTAGTTTTCTTTATTTTACTTTTTTCTGTTACTGACATTGGATTGCACACACCAGTATATGGAATATTTATGAACTTTTAGGTGGGTAGCAAAATCTGTGTAGTTTCTGTCAGTGTGTAACTTTTTGTTTGTTTGTTTGTTTGTTTGTTTCACTTATCCCTCCAGAGCTCCCACATCAGCTTGCCTGTAAAGAGGAGGAGGTTCTTGCCTCTGACCAGCAGCCCATTTTCCAGGAGAGGAACCCCAGGTTGGATCAAGAGGTTAAAGAGGAACTCTGCGCTAGTCAGGACAGAGAGCATCTTGTACTGAAGCAGGAGACTGATACTTGCATTGTGCCTCTTACTTATGAGAAAGGTGACAACGCTGAAGATCAGACTTTGAGATTGATTCCGAGTGAATTAGTAAGTGCAACAGAAAAACATTCCTTAGTCAAAATATCTATTAAAACCTCAGAGGAAGCAGAGCTAAATACCAACCACCAGCTCTTTTCTCACAGTTCCTATTTATCTAAAAGCCCTGACAAAGAAGACGAGCCTGAGGATTGTATGTCAATTGGAAATGCAGAGACAAAACCACAGAAGATAAGTCACAAAGGCAATCATATACATAATCCTGCAATGTTGATGAATTACTGTAAAACACACGCAAGCAAAAAGTCTTTCAAATGTGACACTTGTGGAAAAACATTTCCATTTAATTCCAAATTAATCAGACACCTGCGAATCCACACGGGCGTGAGGCCATATTCTTGCAACATCTGTGGTAAAAGATTCAATCAGACATCCATACTGAACGTTCATAAACGAATCCACACAGGCGAGAGGCCGTATTCTTGCAACATTTGCGGAAAGAGATTTAACCAGACGTCAATACTGAACGTCCATAAAAGAACTCACACGGGCGAGAAGCCATTTTCTTGTAACATCTGTGGTAAAAGATTTAATCAGAAGTCAATACTGGATGCTCATGTCAGAATCCACACAGGCGAGAAGCCCTTTTCTTGCAAAACATGCGGGAAATGTCTCAGGAGTCGTTCTACTCTATTGGTTCACATGAAAAAAACACACGGGCGAGCAACCGTATTCTTGCAAAATATGTGACATTTCAAATGCAGCTATCTTGTAAGTCCATGTGTGAAGCCAGACGTTTGCCAGACTATATGTAAAAGAAACAGCACACGAAAAACCTGCAAAGGCAATAATTTTATAATTTTGTGTGCAGCAATTATGTGAAATGATTCTTTTATGCATCAAGCTTGATACGGTATCTAAGGCTGCATTCATTCGACTACGGTAAGTGTTTGTATATGCAAATATAGATACAATATAGAGTTTCAGTTTTTCACTTCAAGACTAAAACAAACCACTAATATTTAATTACACCTCAGTCTTCTACTTCAATGCTTACATTTGATAATAAGTGTTAGGACTTTTTAAAAAGCATTAACCTGTTTAGGGGATACACAAATAAGGCAGAACCATCAGCTGTGGGCACAAATGGGTCATGGCACACTCATTCGTTGAGCACAGATGGAAAAGTCCCACTTATAGAAAACTACATTGACACAAGGCGTAGCCACAGCGGATTTTTAGAGGGGAATGTAAAAGGGATTTATGATTTGTTTTCCCCCCGCTCTGCCTTGCAGATTGGTTGTGGGGGTCTGATATATGAAAAGCTGCTCCTCCTTGTCTCCAAACACGTCTTTGGTGACTGTAGCTGCAAAAACCCAGTTTTGATTTCTTGACCCAGTCACCATGACTTCTGTAGATGTTGACTTTTGTTATGAGGGTGTACGTCAGGACCATGTTGGCATATTAGGTCTCAGTGATGCATGATGCTCATTCACTCACGTGTCAGCAAAACCTTCCTGCAGCTCCTTTTCAAACACATAAGGGTTTGGAATAGTAGATTTTCATGCTTGAAGTGCCTTCATGTCTTTATATCCATCTCGTGCATCGTATAAATTCTTTTTACAAGTCTGTTCACAGTATTTGTCAGCTGGTCAAATTTCAGCTGGCAAACTAATACCATTTGCTGCTTCGGCTGGCTTCGAAGGCCTAGAGTTCCTGCCTTTAGAAGAAGACATGCACACGCCACAGTGTCTGTATTAAATAAAATATCTCTAATTGTAACAGTATACGCCATTTTCCTCTGTGTGCCTGAATGTTCGTATGCAACTGTACGTCTTCTTTTCGAGAGCTCATGAATATTTGTTTTTTCAACTTCATTGCTTTTTTGTGTTGGTGTTGTTTGTTTGTTAAAGTCCAAAAGTAAAAGTATCTAGTAACAGTGTTGCGAAATACCCATCACAATTTCATACAACTCCAGCTGATGTTTGGAGATATTTTATTTTGTTTAGCGAGGAGCAAAAATGTGCACAGTTCAGTGTGACACAAGGTGATTGGATTGAAATGTTCCCAGTTACAAGTTTAGCAGTTAGAGCCAGACTATGTTTGGTGTTTCTCATTACAAAAAGTCACTGTTTAGCTTATTGCTCCTGATTATTGATCCATTATATCATTTAAAAGGAAATGCACAGCAGGCTGTCTCTCAGTGTATTTCTGCTGTAATTGTGATTGAGATGCTTTGTGGAACTTTTGAAAGCACTGAAACCCTCAACATGAATTTGTTAATTACAACATATTTATATCTGCCTTTATTGTTTTTATTCTGAGGCTGCTCTACATACCTGAGGCCAGCCTAGCATTCATTAGGTTACATGTGAATGTTTCTACTTTATGGTAACACAGTGAAGAAAGCCTTTTACTTGTCAGCGTTACAGTTTCCCTGTTAACAAATGGTAGAAAAAACAAAACTGAAATACTTACAGAAGTTACAGTATTGTTTGCTTATTTATTTTTTTTAGCTTTTCTCTTCTCTTCTTTTCACTTAGTAAATTTGCACGCCAGTATACACTATTACATATATATATAGCACATAGCAAGGGCTGATTTTAGCTAACCTCTTGTAACGTGTACTGTAGAGAAAAACAGTTAAGATACATGATGCTGGATCTAAATGTAAAACATGTTTATGTCTTTATCAAACTTGCGTGTTGTTTAACTAATGAAGGAAGTTAATAGTGGCTGTTTAAAATTAGTTAAGGGGATTGATTTATTGAAGTAACAATAGACAATAAAGGTAGCATTGCCCAGTCAGTATTTTAGGCTATATAACTTGTTTTACTGTATTCATCTCCATTTACAGATATTTAGATACCAAAAAGAATCCTAAGAGCCATCTATGCAGTCTGAAAGTCTTTGGCATTTTGTGTTTATTTTGTTCTTTGCAGTATTTGTTGCCCTGAAATTATTGTATATCTATGTAATGTTACACTAAATGCTCAGTTTGACTATATCCCTGTGTGTGTTTTGCATTTTTATTTCACTCACAGCACTGTTATCTTTCCATAACATCAAATTGTTCCTCACAGCAACATGAATTGGTTTGAGGAGCTATAATATACAACATCTTTGTATTAGTATTTCTTTCTCTGTCTGCCAATTTGTCCTACAAGCTCAGGATGTGATCAACCAAACTTGACCTGCAGATATATCTTAGGTCCTTCAAGGTTCTTATGGCCCACAAAATGACCTGTTTTTAGCATCTGTGCACCTATAACAACTTAACCTATGCCTCCCTTTATGCACTTAAAAAACATCAAAGCATCGTGTTTTAATTCCACAGCCATCAACGTGGCCAGTCCAAACAATACTGTAGTATATCATATAATATAATAGCATATCATATCATGTAATACTGGAAAGAGAAACTCATGCATTTAATTCTTATCTTTCTTTCAAACTATTTAATTAAAGCAACCACTGTATCGCTTTATATATGTAAATATTGATCATAGTGCTCTTTACAGTTCCATAGAAAGAATTTCACAAGTACATAAAACAGTGTTCAGGGGTTTTTGGGAGGAAATATGAGATCACTCTGTGTGTTTTTTGTGGTCAGCAGTGTGGGCAATTTGTTTTTCACATAGGGCCAGGTTTGTAGAGTTTGTAGAGAGCAAGTTTGTAGAGCTTTTTTCCCTTACAAAATGAAATCATCATTGAAAAACTGCATTTTGTATTTACTCGAGTTATTTTTTATAAATGATTTTTCTTAATATTAAAAATTCTTTGACTATTTGAAACATGTAAGTGTGACATATGCATGTATGCATGCCTTTTGCACGCCGGACAGTAGGTGGTGGTAGTGAGCGGGTACAGGATGTGTGTATCGCCCAGTATCACTTGCGGAAGTTAAAAGAAAAGTGCGCAAGTTTAGGCAGCTTCGAAGTCAAAGCGTCTACATTTTAGATGTAACAATGTATCCCGTTCAAAGCATGCGTAAGTTTGTCTGTGATCGACTAACAGCAGCTGCCCAAGAAATACTGGGAGCGTTTGAAAAGAGAGTAGAAGAGTACGAGTCAGAAATCGCACGTCAACGCAGGCTGCTGGATACGGTGTTCACACCGGAGATAAAGTTGCAGGATAAAGGTCGGTCAGATTACCTTGCTCCTCAGTAAAGAGTCCTGTTATGTTTGAAACGATGACTGGTTAAAATGAATCAGTCCTTAGATATTCATTTCTTAATTGTGCCAGGATCACTGTGTGATCAGACCAGTTTGACAGGTATAATGTACCATTTGGTTTCCACTGAATTACACAATTTATTTTATTTTTAATAGCTGGATGTTGTACCTCGGTAATGTAACAAAAGCTGACACAAAGTCCTCAAATCCTCAGCTGAACCAAAGATCCTTGTAATGCTGGGCTTACACTGTGTGGTTTTTTCAGTCGCGCCATTCAGCTCCTGCTCAAACTGTACGATTGACTCGCAGGGGTTAGATGTTCGTAGGTCACGATGCAGGGTCTCACACTATACGGCCCGATGCTCTGATGCGACCTGAGTGCTCACACTGTGCGTCCATAAAATGAAGGTTATAACAGAAATTCTGTCGCTCGCTCGCTCTCCCTTTCTGTCTTTCACTCACACAGACACGCACACCACCACCATCAACTTTGCTAAATTGCTAATGAAAAACATTAGCATTGCAGCTGTGATTGAGCAGCAGTGTAAACCCAACTATTTTCACGGTTGTTGTGATAATTTTGTGAGGCCTCATCGAAAAGGCTCGGATGAGCTTGCCATAGTTCTACAAGTTGTGCCTCCATCGCTTGTGTCCGGATCTCACGCTGCACTGCCGTGCCGCGCCGTCTTCTTCCCTGACATTTGTGTTTGCGCGTGCGCAGTGTGAGAAGCTGCGGTGACACCCTCACGACCAAGCGATTGATGATCGGGAGCTGGTCGTGAGGTGTTAATTGCTTCTCGTTAACCCACGTATACTACACGATGCACGACGCACGATGAAGGTCAAAATCGGACCGATCGCCAAAACGGTCGCACGACTCGTGCCAAAAATCGCACAGTGTATGCCCAGCTTTATATAGATGATGCATGTCTTGGGGAAGTCGTCTCATGTCACGTGTAAGGTCGAGCGGGTAATGAGTTATGGACAAGGCAATCATTAACACATCTGTGTCTCAGCAAGCAATGGAAATGAACAACTAAGCGGAGTTATTAGATACAATACCGAGATACTATTTTTGATCAAAATGTTGGTGACATATCACATCAATACATTTTTGCATTCAAACTTCCCAGCAGGTTTCATTTTAACAGCTAGAACAAAATGTATCCAGTGTCTTACTAGTATGTGTCTCAGTTGTCGTTAATGATGATGAGGACACATCCTCATTAATTATTAGAGCTGTAATTTGCACGGTCTCTCCCTGGACTGCACGGGGCTTGTCCTGTTCTGCTTCTTAGTTCACAGATGAATGATTTGCACAAGTCCACAGGATCAGATGAGGAGATAAATAACTTTTGATGTGCCAAATAATGCCTTTAGGTGAGGTTGCATCGGGGTTGCCGTCTACATTTTTGGCCTATACCTTTAAACTCACAGAGAATAGTTTTTAGTGTGCTTGGTGGTGAGTCTGGTTTCCCACTTGGGTGCTTTGTAGATTTTAAAGAGGCAGTCCTATAATTTTAAATTTAGATCCTGAAAATGAAAGTCGGTTCATTATTGAGGTTGAGGTCAGTCGAATACTACAATTATTGTTTTGTTTTGTTTTGTTATCAGTTCCGTAGATAGATTTTAGCTCTAAACACCCACCTACAGGTCTCTGTCTTTGTGACTATAGCACTACTGGAAATGCTATTTGGAAATGCTTTTTACAGAATGAAACTTTTTTTGCTCCTTTTTCAGAAACCAATACATTCATACAATTCAATTTAAAATTGAATTCGATTTTATTTATGCAGCACCAATTCACAACCAAGTCACCTCAATTCGCTTTACATTGTAGGGAAAGAGCCTACAGTATTAGAATGCAAACCTCAACATTTAGATGTCCAGCCAAAATTAAATAATTACTAATGACTGAATGCAATTGTGATACATAAACACTCAGAGTGAAGATAGGTGAGTGAAACAGAAATGCTCAGTGCATCATGGGAAGTTCTCCAGCAGTCTAAGCCTATTGCAGCACGACTAAGGGACGGTTTAAAAGCATGTTACAGTTTTTATCAGCAGTTTAATCCTTATAAGTTACCACAGAGATGAATGCTGTCACATTCAAGGTGATGCATGGCTTTTAAATTCTATCACTAATAAACAATGTACATACAGAAAGTGTCATTTTTAGCTAATGGCTATAAGCCAAAAAATAGTATTTTAAACACTGTCCCATTCTTTCCTTCCTCCCTCTAGATCTTGCAAATACTTCTTTGAGTCAGCAGCAGAGTGACTCCACTGTTCAGCCTGATATTACACGGATTAAAGATGAGCATGAGGAAATGTGCATCAGTCAGGAACGACAGCAGCTCAAACAGCAGCAGGCACCTGCTGCTCCTAAGGTGACTCCAGCTTCAACTGATCAAAGTGTCCACAGTGATCAGTCTCAGCCTTCAGGTTCTGACCAAACGAATCCTGCTGCAAGTAATGATCCCAAACCCAGTGTCCCTAATGAAGAGGAACGTGACAGAGAGAGTTCTCCAGTACCACCTCCAGATGATGACAACCACTTCTTCTGTCACAACTCAGATGAAGGGGAGAGTCAAGCTGACATAACTTGTAACTATGGAAGTGAAACACCAACAAGAGGCGATACGGACACATCATCAGCTATTACAGCAGCGCAGCCGTTAGATAAGGAAAACAATGATGTGGGCAGCACAGCAAACAGTGGTACAGAGGAAGGACAGGTGTGTACCAATGAGAGCAATGAGCCAGCATCAGATAGAAGTTGTAACATTGAAAACACATCATCAACCAGTAATTCTGAGTTAACACCTACTGTAAGATGTAATAGTGAGACCACATCAGCTATGAGTACTGAGCCAACACCGAACAAGAAACATATAGATGGGAATGAAACGTCAACGTCAACTGCAACTGCTGGCCTAACGACTAACACAAAACAAAGTGGTGACTACACAACATCTACAAAAAGCACTGAACAAACACTAACAAAGAGCCCAACAGAAACTAGATGCCCCGATGTAACGCCACATGAGAAACACGATCAAGCGAGCCCCCCGTTAAAAGGGAATGGTGAGCCAGCGGCAAATAAGTCAAGTCACGATGGGGAATCAAGCTCATCTGTCAGCCTATATGAAAAAAGCAGTGGTAAGAAAACATCAGCTACAAGTGATAAGTATGCATCTAGAAAGAAACACAGCAAGAAAAAAACAAGCAGAAGTACTGATTTAGCTGCAAGTAGGAAACTCAAAGTTGGAAAAATGTCATCAAATACAACTCCTCAGTTAATGCCAAATGAGAAGCATAAAGACTGGGACGCAAATGATGTCACTGAGCCTTCACCAGACTTTACATGTCACGACATATCAATGGAAAGTACTGAGCCAATTCAAAATAAGACTAGTGACCATGAACAGGTAGCATCAAATGAAAGTCCAGTTCAGGCAGAACCCACTGAGGGGAACACATCCTCAATTTCAAGTCCTGACCTAGCACAAAAGAAGCAGAGTGAAGGAAAACTAGCTTCTCCTTCAAACACTGAAATGGCACAAAGTAAGAATTCTAACAGTGACGAAGCCACATTGGCCGAAAGTACAGAAACATCGCCAAATAAGATGCCTGGTGATGAGACTACAAGTACTACGTCAACCTCAAGTAGGAAACTTACACATCAGAGAACATTATCAACCAGAAGCAGGGATTTAACAAAACAAAAGAAGCATAGACATAGAGACGCAAAGTCTTCAAGTAGTAAGGAAGCAGCACTGCTGAAAAGACAAAATGATGGGAGCGCAACATCAGGAGGAAGCACCGACCCAACACAACGGAAAAGACATAAGGATCAGAGTGGGGAATCCACCCAAACTACAGAGGCAAGACACAGTAAGAGAAACAACAATGGGAGCAAAAAATCAAGTGGAAGTACTGATCCAACACAAAAGAAGAGACATAGGGAAAGTGAAAAACGCTTAAAAGCATCAAGCCAGAATGATGGTGGTAATGCCAAAGATGAGGAAAATCCTTACAAGTGTGACCGGTGTGGCAAAGTGATGTCCAACTTCAAAAACTACAAATTTCATATGAAGAGCCACACAGTTGAGAAGACGTTCAAATGTGAGACTTGTGGCAAGATGTTCCGGGAAAGTTGGGATTTAAATAAACATTTAGTGATTCATTCAGCCGAGAAACCCTTCAAGTGCGACGTCTGTGGAAACGGGTTCAACCGACGTTATAATCTCGACCTGCACGCCAGGGTTCACACTGGGGAAAAGCCTTACAAATGTAGCACCTGCGGGAAAAGCTTCAGCGCCTGTGTGAACATGAAGAAGCACATGCGAATCCACACCGGTGAGAAGCCTTACACTTGCAACGAGTGCGGTAAAGAGTTTGCGGATTCTTCTGCTTTCAAGAATCATTTGCGAGTGCACACGGGGGAAAGGCCCTTCAAGTGTACCTACTGCAAGAAAAAATTTGCTACCAACACGACTTTGAAAAGGCACACCAGAACACATACAGGTGAAAGACCGTATAAATGCACCGTGTGTGATAAGGCGTTCAGTCACAAAACCGACCTGAAAGGACACATGAGGATGCACACTGGCGAGAAGCCCTACAAATGCACTAGTTGTGGGGAACAGTTCTCCACCTGGTTAAAACTTCATAAGCATAAAGAGCGTGCACATGCAAGCGAATCAGAAAAACCCGCCAAATAACTGGTCGTACCAAATGAATTAACTTGTTTTTGCTTTTCGTTTTCTTGTGATTTACTTCATAGTTTTGAATTTTTTGGACATTCCAGGTGTTGAGGTCAAACAGGGTTCTTTATTGTGTATTTTTCTGGTACTAGTGAGAAGTTAAAAATCAATTCAGGAAGGTCACTTTGAGTAAAAGATCTGCAAAGAGCTATGCTTTTCAAGGCTTACAAGCAAATACTGGAAATACTACAGAAAGCTTTACACTCTCACACTGATGACAGTTTGTTATTTGTGACAAAAAGATTGTATGTTTTCCCTTTCCTTCTTGGCTTACACTTTTCTGTTACAAGTCGACGTGAGAGCTTTTTTTTCTTTCCATTCTGTGTTATTTTTGTCTGCATTTCTCAGAGAAGGTTGCACTTTTGCACTATGTCATTCTAAATACGGCCTTAACAAGGCCAGTCTTATTATGGCAACTCAAAAAGAAAATTCTGTATCAGAACAGTTAACCCCTAAAATGAATAGAATAGAATAGAATTCAACTTTGTCATTGCACATGTCACAGGTACAGGGCAACGAAATGCAGTTTGCATCCATCCAGAAGTGCTTTAGCCATGATATAGATATATTACAATATATATTAGCAATGATATAGATATGTAAGTATATTACAGAAATGGGTCTATTGTGGTATGTAATATGTACACGGTATGAAGTATGTTATGAATGAACAGAAGCTGTTATGAATGTGAATATACAGTTGTCCATTGTGTGTGTGTGTGTGTGTAGGTGGTTGTGGGTGTGTGTATGTTCAGTCCATGTGTTAACGTGGGTCAGCTGTCAGGAGGCAGAGTTCAGGAGTCTGACAGCTGTGGGGAAGAAGCTGTTCCGGTACCTGGTGGTCTTAGTCTGGAGGCTCCTGTGGTGCCTCCCAGAGGGCAGGAGGGTGAAGAGTCCATGTGATGGGTGACTGGGGTCTTTGATGATTTCCCCAGCCCTTTTCAAACACCACTTCCTGTAGATGTCAAATGCTGGCTTTACCTGGACCATTTTGCGCTGGACATCATTGTCGTTTATTACTCACAGAGAGTTTTGATGGCTGGACTTTTCCATCTTTTCGGGTTGTTGGTAGTTTCCATTTATGTGCAATGGTGGCTGCAAACTGCATTACCACCACCTTCTGGGAGTAAAAGCACATTAGATAAGAGAGATAAGAGATAAGATAAAACTTTATTAATCCCTCGGGTGGGTTCCTCTGGGAAATTCGGTACATTACATCCTGTGACTGATTTAAAAACGGGAAACGATATATTTCAGGACAAAAGCCATAGTCAGTCAGTTTTATTTTTATAGCAAATGTTAAATTATTTGATAATCATGACTATTAATTACTAAATGCAATGTAAATATTATATCAGATCCAACTCTGCAGGGAAAGCTGACACCTCTTGGTATTTCCTATAAAAAGCTGTTGCATTTTTTTTAAAGGTTTTGTATGATAGTGAACTTTTACATATTTATAATTCTGTACCGTTTGCTCTTGCTTAAGCAAATGCTTTGGTTTTTGGATTGTTTTTTACATCTGTAAATATTCTTGTTAAAGAAATCTGGGAATTCCATCAGACAGATCATGGACAACAAAGTCAGACGAGTCAAAAGCCAGTGGTTGTGACTTTTGACGAGCTTTACAGTTGTTTAAATACAGTACACAGAAGTGCTTCTTGCCACAAGAATGCCTTCATTGCCTCAATGTGTTAATAAGTGTTGTACTAGAACAGCAAGCAAAAGGAACACAATGTTTGTTTGGTTTTTTTTTTTTGTCTTGTTGGTAATGATTTTATTTGATTTTTTTTTTCAGTGTTTTTTCCCATTTTTGTCATCAGAGCATAGACTTGTAAAACAGTCAGTGAATGTCTTATTAATGGGTTTACAATAAACCACCATGCCTTTTGTAATTGTCAATAAGTAATGTGTGCTCTTTCTGAATCTGTAGGATCCACGTTGATTTTCGTTAAATTATTTGTGATGTATTGAGACAAGAAGAATTAAGAGATTCGTTTTTGTGTAAGTGAAGGAGAAAAAAGTTACAGTGCAATAAATTCTGCTCTTATTAAACATGTGTTCTGATGATGATTCATTATTTAGAGCATATTAGTAGTTTTTAACAAGACTGCTTAAGTTGCTTTTGAAGCCTGAAGTAAAGTTACAAAGGTCAGGTGTATATGTAGGTTAATATTTAATATTTGCGTACGCTTGTTGAACACTTTTCTAAGGTATCCTTTGGTAGGACCTTTTTCACACAGAGAACTGTTGATCAGTGAATATTCCCTTTTTCAAACCATTCCCTGCACAGCCTAGAGATGGTTGTGTTTGAAATTCCCAGTAGATCTGCAGTAACTGAAATACTCAGACCAACAACCAAGTCTCATTCAAAATCATTTAAATCAAATCAATAAATATTTTTTGCTATTATGATGCACATTTTGAAATTTAGCAGGTCGTCTTGAGTATGTTGTTATATCTAAATCCATTAAGTGATTGGCTTAGATGTTTGTGTTAAGTAGTAGTTGAAATAATGTACCTAATATAGTGGCTGGCAAATGTGTGTTCACATGTATAATGTCAGGTCTATCTAAAGATATTAAAGACCTATTATGTTTTTATTTTTAGTTTTATGGTTTCCAAATAATTAAAAAAATGTTAAAATAAGTTTTAAAAATGTTACAAAGTAAACTACTATTTTTATTGTTCTTCACAAAAGTACATATTTGTTGGGTGAAAGAGTTAAAATGTAATTTGGAGGCTAACAAAAATGTGGTAATTTGAGATACATCACATGGTCACGTAACAGTGAGTGGACACAAAAAAACTGATTACTTGTTTACTCAGTCCCATTCTGCCATCATGTGGTCCATTATATTTTTGGCTGCATCATGAGAAAATGTGATTTAATAATCGATTTTTAAAAATCTGCAAATTGAACTGCTGCTTTCATGCTGCTATCAACAATCCCTGTACAGTATTTTCTATTTTTTCCCCACAATATCTTGAAACAACTAGAACACAGCTAACTGCTATAAACACCTGCAGCTGATGACAGAACAGCTCTCAGAGCGTATGGGCACGACTTCAAAGAAGATCACAGCAGAATTAAAGAGCAGAATCTGAAATAAATAAATATATTAACAAACAAAGGCAAAACACGAAGGTCCTGGGAAAATATTTTTACAGTATGAAGTTAAAACTCTTGTAGTAAAACTAAAAGCCCTTTTTTGGTCATTGTTTATCTATTTAGCTAAGAATTAAGCAGACTATCCGGAAAACATCTTCAGATTTTTTATCGCAAAACAGTCTAGCTGTGGATTTGCTTCTTTTCCTTCCCTTATATGCTTTATCTCCTCACATTTCTCTCTGCACTGTTATAGTTACACAATAATCAAAAGTTTAGTCAGTGCAAAAATATTATTTTAGTGCCGAAGTTGCTGTCAGATGTGCATTTATATAGTTGCATATACAGAGTGATAAGAAATTGACAACAGATTCTTACAATGGAGAGCAGGCCAAGACTACCTATCTGTCTGTAGAAGAGACCACCCACCTGCCTCTTTGTACTGTATATTTATCAGGCTTTGTTGCAGTGCTTTATCAGTGACTCCGAGTTACAGAATCACAGTGGGTCCACTGTCATTTCGGACTATTAGTAACTCACAGGTGGGTTCATGAGTCATCCAGACTCTGTTTGTACCGAACCCCCAAACACACACACACACACACACACACACACACACACACACACACACACACCGACCACAACAATATCAATTTCAAACATGACTTGTTACGTGTAACAATTCATTACGTGATTGATGGAGCGCTACTGTGGCGCGGCCGGCCGAGGGCACAAACAGAAAAAAGACAAAAAACAACAAACAATCAAACTGCACTATTTTTTAATTGCCCCAAGATAAATCACCTTACTCATAATTTTAATCCTCCATTTAGAGCACAGTTGTGTTAACAAATAGAAACCCCCAGAATCCCAACGATATCTTCACTTTCAAACAGTTTGACCACAGGATATAGACCAGCAGCACTAGAAGGGGCCACAGTTTCACTCCCCCAATCTGCCTGTCATACCAAGGAGCAGGCCACACACACCGTTAGATACTTGTTTTACTGCCTTCTTGTTGTGTGTGTCGGCTAGTATAATCTGTTTGCATTTTCATGCTTCTCTGCGTCAAACATCTTAATCTTTCTCAGAATTCTTGCAATGAACTTTTTTTTTAAAAAGCATACTCTAATTAGTAAGCCATTATCATACGTTATTATCCTAAATGACAAAATAAACCCATGCTTGAACTTTTAATTGTAAACATTATGCCTTAAAACCTCTTTATCAGAAGTAGCATTGCAGCTGATCCTGTCAACTCCATTAGCCTAAAACATCAACGGAAATCCTCTTCATTACTCCCAGACACTGAACGCACCTCTTCACCTTTGCACGGCGTGTCATTTGGTCTCCAAATTCCTCTGCAGATTACTATACTCCAATACTACTACACGGCACCTTTGCAAATGTTATGCTCTTAGCAGTATGTATTGCATTGCATTAGAAAGGTTAAACTATCAACAAACCGAACGTTTTAATCATAAAATACATTCACGCCCAGCTGCAGGCCTCCTGCTCCTTCAAGGTAAGAATTGTATGTTAATATGCAAAATGTGAGTTTGTGATGTCACATCGGCTCTCTTCGGTCAGTTTTTGTGCTCGTGGCATGGCGACAGGCGTCTTAAAAGCCGAGGCTGAGGCTGCAGCTGATGCGGACTGTTTAATGTTCTGTGCAAATTTGCTTGTGGTTTCTTTGTTGACATCTGGCTGGCTGCTAATTTCTGCTCTTTGCTGCTACTGCCATTGGGACTGATATGTTTTCATGGGTGCTCCACATGAATTTAACCACTTCATTGTTGTTGGGCCAATATACTGTATGAATGATAGTTTTAACAGAAAAGATCTGGTAACACATTTTTCCTCCTAAGCTGCTTTTTATTTTCTTTTTTGGTGTGTGTGTGTGTGTGTGTGTGGGGGGGGGGGGGGGGGGGGGGATTTGGCTCTATATTATTTCAACATGTCTGCTTTCTGCATGCATGAGTTAATTATTTCAATGTAATCTCACATTTGTT